AGAAAGACATAAAGAAAGAAAAAGAAAGAGAGAAAGAAAGAAAGAAAAAAGAAAGAAAGAAAAAAGAAATAGAGAGAGAGAGAAAGAAAGAAAAAAAGAAAGAAAAAAAGAAATAAAGAAAGAAAAAGAAAAAAGAAAGAAAGAAAGAGAAAGAAAGAACAAGAGAGAATTATTTGGAAGAATGTGAGTAACAGAATTCTAAAAAAGTTTAATATTTAAAGAAAATTTACGGAAATCAGGCGAGAAATATTAAAGCAAAATAAATAAAGGGAGAAAGATGGATATAGCAAAAAAGAACAGGAAGGGAGGAAAACTTCAATAACTAAACTGAAAGAGTGGCTTATAAGGTTAAGGCTACAGCAGAGAAAATGATAAAAGTACACATACACACATATATGTGTATATAATTAGGAGATAAGGAAGAAATAAGGAGAAACAGAAATAGAAATGAAGAGATAGAAATAAAGGGAAAGTGTCAGAGAGAGAGAGAGATAGTCTATAAAAGAATGTGAAGGGAGAAAAAAATCCCACATAAAAGAGAGATGAACATATTAAAAAAAAGTGCTTTATTGAGTAAAAAAAAAATGAGACGAACATTAAGAATCTGAACATCCCTTGGAAGGAAAATTGTTTTTTCGCATAAACAGCAGCACGTGTCTTTCAGGCAAGGTATCTCGAAATATAGGGGTTTTCATTGAAAGGATTTGAAAAAAAAAATCATTTGAAAAGTGGCTTTTTAATGTACAGGGGAATTACATGTGAAATCTGAGTTACTTTTACAACATTTATTTCCGTAAATAAACATTAAATTGGGTCCACATACCTAAAAGTAGGTCGTGTGTATTTCCCGCTGTGTGTTTTTACACGCCTACTGTACCAAAAATAATAACTTTGAAATTGAAAACGAGGGGGAAATTGACGTGAAATAAGGGAGAACAAAATTAATAGTGAAAATTATAGAGTTGAGAGAAACATAGATTTAGCCGAAGAGATAGTTGAAAGGGAGAGTTGATGAAAAGTAAGAACAAGCCGAATAAAAGTGAGAATAAAAATATAATTGGGATTAACTCAGGACAGGGATATTTTTGCACATGACTCAGGAAAGTGGAGCCAAATAGGGAAACTCGAAATTCATAGGTACGGAGCAAGTGCAACCTAAAACAAACCAAAAAGAAAACAATTGCTAAGGGCATTTTCCAATGGCAATCGCAGTCAGTCTTAAGTCTATGGACACAGACACACACACACAGACACACACACACACACACACACACACACACACACACACACACACACATATATATATATATATATATATATATATATATATATATATATATATTCAGTTCAAGAAAGATATTTGGGTCACTAACACAAAAAAAAGAGAATGACTAATATCAAGAATATTTAAACATAAAAAACATAAGAAAATTATATATATGTGTGTGTGTGTGTGTGTGTGTGTATATATATATATATATATATATATATATATATATATATATATATAAAATATAAAACAGCAATGCATTCTCTAAATATTTCTGGCAATTAAAGAATGGTGCTAATACACCTATTATTATTATAGCAAGAAACAAATCTTACAACGAGAAAGTAAATACATGCAATTTACGTATTTTGAAAAGTTAATTATCTTAAAACACTTAAATACCCATAGCTTATCAAACAAGAGAAATTAATTAATGGTTACATGAAGGCATAAAAAATATATGCTTAAATACCTTGATCGAGATTCATTTTTAATGTAGATTTTTTTTCATTCTTTTTAAAAAAACTCAATTTATGATTAACATAAAGCATTAATATTCACAACTCCAATGTAATTTATTTTTAAATATATATACAAATCATATTTATTTTAAATGCCAAATATATATTTAAAAAAATAATAAACATGTAAACCCAGTATAAAATATAACCCATATATAATATATAACTGCGCCGACATTGCGATAACAAAATGTTTTTTTTTTATTAAAATTGAAATTACGTAACGATGATTCTATACTCAACACCTGAAAATTGCTGTGCATGAAACTCCGAGTTATGTTATCGGTGAGTGATAGTATGTGCATTTATTAGTATATACCTAATAGATCTGTTGTATTAGATCGAGCACTCTTTTATTGACAGTAGCACTATATATACATATATATATATATATATATATATATATATATATATATATATATATATATATAATAAAATTATTCGGACTATTGTCCTCATTTTTGTCGCCATATTTATCACAACGTTTTGGCCGTTGTACGCCCCGGCCTTCTTCAGGTCGTTGGAATGTCGAACTGAACCCTTTATTTCGATCACTGGGGTAGACTGTTCTAGTTCCACGTGCCATGTTTGATGGATGTCAGTTATCAGTTATCTCCTGCTAATTTTACCTCTGGGTATACATGACACAGTGGATAAAGGCGTTGGTTAGATCCGGTGACAGACCCAAAGAGTGTGAGTTCAATACCTGGTTAAGGCAGTGGAGAACTTTCAGAGGGAAAATTAGCAGGAGATAACGGATAACTGACATCCATCAAACATGGAACTAGAGCAGTCTACCCCAGTGATCAAAATAAAGGGTTCAGTTCGAAATTCCAACCACCTGAAGAAGGCCGGAGCGTACAACGGCCGAAACGTTGTGATAAATATGGCGACAAAGATGAGGACAATAGCCTGAATAATGTAAATACTGTACATAATACCTCATCTCAGAAATATAGACAGACTCTGAAGGATATATATATATATATATATATATATATATATATATATATATATATATATATATATTGAGCATTTCACCCCAAGCAAGCAAGGGGTTACAGAGGGTTTGGCGCGAGAGCAGATAGGATTGATAGAGGAAAGGATGTGGAGAAGGATAATGGATAGATCAAGGCAGATATCGATTGACATTACATTTGAATAGTTGGAGATTATAGCTATTAGGGAAACAGGAAAAAGGAAGGGAGTTCCACAGGCGAGAGGTGCGCCCCACAGCTCTGCGTTCATTGAAACTAAAAGCTTGGTGATAAAGCCAGCCTGAACTCTCACTAGTGTGACCATGAGAATGAAAGCGGACGAATATGAACATTTGTTGCCATAGTGGGTATAATTCGTACTACCGAAATTTACCCAAAGGGTGCTCGCTCTGTCTGTCTCTCTCTCTTTGTATTTTCCAACATATCTAGTGACTAGATATGTTGGCAAATACAAAGAGAGACAGACAGACAGATTCTAGTCTGTGTTCTTTTTTTCCCTCTGTCTGTTTGACTAATCTAACGTATTTATTTGTGTTCTAATTATTCTAACCTAATTTGTAATGTCGGAGTTAACTCCTCCTTTAGTACATTAACCCTTTCACCAGGGGTCGCTCTTCGCTGTTATAAATAGCCGCGGATCCTTCGCCTCTCTCTCTTTTTTCCTTCAGGCCTGTGCGCCGACACCTTGAGGTAAATCTTTCCTTTTCATCAGGCTTTCAGCTTACAACCTCGAAATGTAGGCGCTAACAAGGGATAGCGTGGAAACACGCTAAACACAATACACACACACGCACATACAGAATATTCACACACACACGCACGCACATACAGAATATTCACACACACTTCGTCCTTTGTACTGTTTCCATGTATTGTAACTTGTTATTAATATATATTTTTATATACATATATTATCGGTCTTGTGTTTTGTTTGCTTTTCTTTGCCTTCTTCTTTGGACTTAATCAGAGTCCAACCTTTTTATGTAGTTGGGCCCGGCGGGCAGGAGAATCTGAACCTTACTTGCGTTTCTTCTACATCAGACTTCACAACATCACAGCCACGGCTCATCTACAGTAACCATTTAAGTTCGTTTTGGAAATCCCTTTTCCAAAAAAAAAAAAAATGACTTGGACAGCAGGCGAACGTACGTCGTCAGTATTCGTATGTTCTAGTGGGCCGAATATCTTACTAGATATAATAACCAGCGTTGAATTGTTTAGCCGTATCTTTCTTCCCGTTGTTTCTAATTTTATTGAAAACAAGTACCCCAAGCCCATTGTTAGTGGTGGTGGGGGAATGCTCGTTCCCCACCCCCAGCTTTGCGTTGATTGAAACAAAGAGCTTGGTGATAAAGCTAGCCTGAACTTTCACTAAGTGACCATGGGAATAAAAGCGGACGAATATGAACACTTGCTGCCATAAGTGAGTATTATATGTGTGTGTGTGTGTGTGTGTGTGTGCGTGTGTGTTTGTATTTAGGCAGTATATGTTCCTTCAAACATGTTTCATTGAATAATATAGATATATTATCTCTATTTATTTTTAAAATGGTCCTTTCCAAGATGAATTTCACCAAGGAAGATCCGTAGTTTTTTCCTACCCAATTTTTTTCGATTTCCTCCAAGATCATCCTCGGGAGGGAATTACAAAAATAAAACGTTGTGGTAGAGATTAAAAAAAATAAAAATAAAAACACGACTGAACGTACACTGGCATAATTATTTTAAAATTTTAAATGAAGTATTTTTAATTAAACATTTCTCATATGCATTTTGATACGTTGCTGCTACAATCGTTATAAATTTTGTTGAGTGATGTTTGGTTGCTTTTGATATAGAAAGCCTCGAGAAGTTGAAGTCTTTCTTATTTTCGTGGTGTAGTCTATTTGTGTTTACAAGTATTTTCCTGCATTCCATGTAAAGAATTTTTTTAGATGTTGCGCAATAAAACATTATAGATTTTATCACAGTTACAATAAGTTTGTCATTGTAATTCGCTCCTGAAGATGATTTTAGAAGACAGAGAAAGTATTCGGGTAGGTAAAAAAAGAGCTAAAGCGCCTTCCTTGATGAATTTCATCTTATCATCACGAAACTATTATACTCTTTCTCTCTCTCTCTCTCTCCTCGCTTATCTCTCACTCTATCTCTCACAGGCATATACACATGCACTTACACGCGCGCGCACGTATGGCTTAAGGCTACATCACATTGAAGCAAATGTTCCCGTATGATCACAGAAGTTAAGCAACGTGGAGCCTGATCAATACTTAAATGGATAATTACTTGGGAATACCAGGTGCTGTAAGCTTGGATATGCGGGTGGTGTACCGTATAATGGTTCGGAATTGTTAATCTGAGAGCCGAGATCCAATTCCTATTAGGTTCGTTAGAATCAATTACGGGAAAATACCCTTGGGAAAGGCATGAATCCATCTCTTCTGTTTTCATGTGTGAGTTACCTAGTAAGACTTGTATCCCTAAAACTATTATTATCCCAAAAAATTAAATAAATAAATAAATTTGCATACAAAATATTTATCTGTCTATATTGCTGAAATGAGGTATATTTATTACAACGTTCCGGCTGGACCCAAAGAATGTGAGTTCAATACCTGGTTAAGGCAGTGGAGAACTTGAAGAAGGAAATTAACAGGAGATAACTGATAACTGACGTCCATTAAACAGTGTGCGAAATAAAGGGTTTAGTTCGACATTCCAAGCACATGAAGACGGCCGAAGCGTACAACGGCCGAAACGTTGTAATAAATATGGTGACAAAGATGAGGACAATAGTCCGAGTAATGTAAATAGTGTACATAATACCTCATCTCGGAAATATACACAGATACCGAGAGGCCGAAACGTTGTAATAAATATGGCGACAAAGATGTCGACAATAGTCCAAATAATGTAAATAGTGTACATAATACCTCATCTCAGAAATATAGACAGATACAGAGTGGATAAAGGTATTAGTTAGATCCTGTGACAGGACCCAAAAGAATGTGAGTTCAATACCCGGTTAAGGCGGTGGAGAACTTGGAGAGGGGAATTAACAGGAGATAACTGATAACTGACATCCATTAAATATATCACGCAGAGCTATAACAGTTTACTCCAACCACATAAAGAAGGTCGGAGCGTACAACGGCCGAAACGTTGTAATAAATATGGCGACAAAGATGAGGACAATAGTCCGAGTAATGTAAATAGGGTTCAAAATATTTAGATTTCGACAATAAATAACCCATAGTGGTGTTGATATATCGCTAAACAAAAACAACCACACACACATAAACACACAAAGAGAGAGAAGGGAGAGATAAACTACGCACATAGAACATCATTTTCATACAGTAAATGCGTGAACACATCACAAGAAGAACAGGAAAAGTAGAACAATTTTATGTTTTTATTGAAGTGTCTTGAGCATTAATAGCACAAAATAACTGATGAATATCATATATTGAACGTATTTTTAAATGACCCTCTCTAATCAAAATTATTTATTCATGATGACAAAAGATAAGCATATAAAATACACAAGATAAAAAGAATTTATTAAAAATCCAAAATATAGGCAAATTATTTTATCCATAATCACCACACGAAATGAATTTACTTGTCTGTATAAAAAATTATCGCAAACACTTAAAAAACATTAAAAATATAATCACTGTAAAGCGGTTAAATTTAATTTAACATCAGAAGCCGATATCTAACAAAAAAGATCGTAAATAATAATTCACAAATATATGAGAAACAACACGAAATTTAAAAAAAAAAGGAATTTACGAACCTGAAAGGGATTTAAAATTAAACAATAGCCGGGTGATCAAAATTTTGAGCTCGAAAACGCGATTGTGAATTTGAATTTACTGTAATAGGTACCATGATCTAAGATTAATTTTAGGTCAGACCCTTTTTCTTTAGTCATTTGTTCATCTTAAATGTATCATGAAACAATGCAGTTTATTTAATCAATGAGAAAATGAGTTCAGTTAGTTAAAACCTAATTTCTCTAAAGAGAAAATTAAGGTAAAAATATATCATCGAGAGGCTTAATATGAATTACTTTTCGTTTCGCTAATATAAATTTAATTTTTGTGAAATATTTTTTTCTGGAGAGGCAAGATAATCTGCGAAATTTATCAAAGTACATTTTCCATTATTATTATTTTATTTCCTTTGATTTCCGCTGTGTACTCATTTCTTTCCGGATCCCAGCTAGAGACCTAAGGTCAGAAATTGTATCATGACATTTTCAACTGAGCAATTTTTTTGAAAAAAAAACAAAACAAAAAAACCCCAAGATCACAGGCATTTTACAAAGATAAAGCCCTTCATAAGGTGTAAGCTGTACTTGTGAGTACAATTTTTTGTATTTTTTTAAGACTTTCGCTAGCAGGAATCATTTCAATGAATCTCCCGGAAATATTTCAATCAAACCGAAGGCTCAACTACAACTGGAAATAGTGATGATCTCATGTGCCACATTTCTTAGATTTCGAGATCCTTGTATTTTGATAGTTGTTTTGAAGATCTTCAAAGATACATTACAATCTGCAGGGACTTCCATTATTATTATTATTATTATCATTATTATTATTATTACTACTACTACTACAACAACAACTATTATTATTATTATTATTACTACTACTACTACTAAAACAACAACAACTATTATTATTATTATTATTATTACTACTACTACTACTACTACAACAACAATTATTATTATTATTATTATTACTACTACTACTACAACAACAATTATTATTATTATTATTATCATTATTATTATTATCATTACCACTACTACTACAACAACAACAACTATTATTATTATTATTACTACTACTACTACAACAACAACAATTATTATTATTATTATTACTATTACTACAACAACAACAACAACTATTATTATTATTATTATATTACTACTACTACTACAACAACAACAACTATTATTATTATTATTATTACTATTACTACAACAACAACAACTATTATTATTATTATTACTACTACTACAACAACAACAACAACTATTATTATTATTATTGTTATTATTATTATTATTATTATTATTATTATTTCTAATATAGTCATACTACCTACCAAGTCTGCGAGAAGACCCAAGGCAGGTACTGGTGTGTTTTTATGGCTGCATTTCATGATTTGTTTTCCTAACTGCCATAACGTCACATGCATTACATGGACAAAGTTCTTAGCGCTATTATCAGGACTTTCTTGGATTTCTCTTAAGCTGGGATTCCCAGGGATTTTTTTCCTTGCGTTTTTGAGTTCATTTTTTTTATCATTCCCAGAGCACCTACTATGACTGTTAATATTCTTGTTTTCAATTTTCTCATTTTCGATTTTGGTTTCCAGCTCTCGATACTTGAATAGTTTTTCCAATTCTTTTAACCGGTGCTGGGTGATGTTAATACCAGTGTTTATTAACATCTTTTCTAAAGTGTTAGAACATTTTCAGTGTAAGTATTGACCCATTCTATCCTGACGATTTTTATATTCATTTGGCACAAGTACAGAACAGTAGATTAGATGGTCTATAGTTTTCTGATATTTGTCACAACCTGAATTTTAGATCCACACTATTATGTATGATATTTGCCTGAAGGTTTCTGATGAAAATTTTCTGGTCTTGCGCTGCAAGAATAAAGACTTCCGTTTCAGCTTTTAATCAAGGTGTTCGTAAACATTGATGAGTGTTTACATTATCAACATCGGCTTTATTAGCAAGTTCTTGATATTGGCCATGCGAACGTTTGTCTTGGTCGCATTGTTTTATCTGTCCAAGAGTTTTATCCATGGCTTTCTTTTCTATTCTTTTTGTTGCAACCGTTGGGTCTTGGTTTCTTTTCTTTTTTGGTTTTCTACAGAATCTAATAAATGTAAATCTCATTTTTATTTAAAAACATCTTTCATGATTAAGTATTTAGTTCTGTTTTCATGTTGTTTAACTAATTGCATCATCCGGCCCTTTGTTGTTTTGCATGTATGTTAGTAAGCCAATTGTTGTTGACTTGTATGACAATTCTAACTGAATATAACATCTACCTTCTTTATTGGGTACATATATACCTTTGGATGATGCATGTTATGCTCAGAATGAAGCTTTCTTGACTTAGAATCCTTTCGTCTGATAATCATTTAGTGTCTAGTACAAAATGTTGAAACTATATTGAACCACTGGGACGTCAAGGCTATTAATATCCATCATTCTGTTCCAAGAATTAAATCAATTCTTTATATCAGTCGTACACTTTTATAGTCCTCTTTTCGCACTATTTATTATCCATTTTATGGTAGATTCCTTGATCCTCAGTTATACCGAGGCACTTATAAACTTCTTGTTGCTCTGAATCTTTGATTAATACCCCAGAGACTAAGCTAACGGAGGAGATTTCTTGTAGTGATTAAGTGATTATTATTATTATTATTATTATTATTATTGTTATTATTATTATTGTTATTATTATTATTATTATTATTTGATATGTCCCGGAAAGGGATATACTTGATCGAAGTAGCTAAGTGGGTTTTGGCTACTGTAACCAAGTAGTACACGGTAGCAGTAATCGACCGGTACTCGTTGTAGTCGCAGATAATAGGCGTAGACCAATAGAATAGCCAATGGTGTAGTCCAATGGACGTCGTAACTACACGTCCGTCTGTATTTATGACGGACACTAGCCAATCATGTTCCAGTGAGGGGAAACTCAAGTGTATGCATATTCCATTATATTATTATTATTGTTGTTGTCGTCGTCGTTGTTGTTGTTGTAAGCCGGTAGTAGTAATTTCTTCTGTTTCATAAAAAAAGAAAAAAAAAGTGACGCCTTATTTTGTGTTCACTAAATATATCCTTTTTGGTAATGAGATATAATGTCAGCATGAAAAATTCCTTATAAATTATTTTGGTTACGTTGTGGAAAAAAATGAGCAGATATGGGCTTCGAAACGTCTTAACGAGAGAGTTGTTTTTCATTGAGAAGTCTCAGTGAGCATTGTTTTTGCTGTGAAGTCTTTCGTGGAAAAACGGTTTCACCTTGCATAAGGGAGATTCCCTTGAATGGAGTGAGTGAACGAATGTGTGTTTGATTGTGTATTGTTTCCTTGTGGTGGGCTGCGTATATTGCACTTAACAATTGTTCATTTAAACAATTGTTCTTACATAAAGCAAACCGTTATAATATTGTAAAATACATTTTTGTAACGGGCAAATTGATTTCTGTATATAAGAAATGAATGTATGAAGTTTACAGTTTAAGCC